GAAAGATGACACTTAGTCTTTCTGTACGGATTATAAAGCCCTCAACACGGTCACCATCAGTGACCGTTTTTCTATATTGACAGTTGATGATATGCATGATGAACTACACGATGCCTTGTTCTTCACCAAGCTCAATCTGACTGCAGGATATCTTAAGTCAGAGTATATCCTCTAGATGTAGACAAGACCGCCTTTTGTATGCACAGTGGTCATTATGAATATCTGGTGATGCCATTTGGCTTCTGTAATGCCACATCCACCTTGCTAGCTCTCATGAACACTATATTCCAACCATACTTACGTAAGTTCGTCTTCGCTTTCTTTGACAATATTTTGATTTGTAGCGCTACTTGGACTCTCTACCTTAATCATGTGAGACAGGTTATGGAAATCCTAAAGCAGAATCACTTTTTCCTCAAGCTAAAGAAATGTGAGTTCGGCCTTTAAGAGTTAGAATATCTAGGACACACCGTCAATCCTAACGGGGTTAAAGTTGACCAAAAAAATACAGGCCATGAGCAATAGGCCTCCCCTGAACAATACCATAGAACTGCGGAGCTTCTTGGGCTCGATAATTATTACAGAAAATTTGTACGAGACTACGGACTCTTTGCCCGCCCAATCACCAACTTGTTAAAGAAGGGAAAATTTGAATGGATAAAAGAAACAGAAGTAGCATTTGAGAACATGAAAAAAGCTGTGACCACCACTCCTGTATTGGCATTACCAAACTTCCGTGAACCATTTGTTATTGAGACAAATGCACTGGGGGACGGTCTTGGGACAGTTCTTACTCAAAATAAACAACCAATAAACTATATGAGCAGGCATATCAAAACAGTCTTGGTTTTTTATTCAAAAGAAATGTTGGTTATTATTATGGTAGTTTGATTTTAGAGACCCTACCAACTTGGTCATAAATTCTTTATCAAAACATATCAAATAAGTCTTAAATATTTATTGGAACAACGCATCACTACACCTGAACAACAGAAGTGAATGTCTAAACTTTTGCGTATGATGATGAGATCCTATACACGTCAGGTAAAGAGAACTCCGTCGTGGATGCTCTCTCCCGCAAAAAGGGGAGCCTCATCCTGAGCATCATCTCGATTTTGTAGTGTGACCTATGGACCAAGATAAAAACGGTAGCACTTGATCATCTGTACATGTAAAAACTCAAACAACTTGCCTCTAATAATCTAGGTCAGCCTTATGTTGAGCGACAATGGCTTATTTATTATAAGAACCGAGTAGTGGTACCCCTAGATACCAAAATCAGTCAACAATTACAACATGAGTTGCATAACTCACCTATTTGAGGTCTTTCAAGCGTACTCTGAACGTACAAACACCTAACACATCAATTCTACTGGCCATCCAAGCGCAAAACAGTCCACAAGTATATTTTTGCTTGTGATATATGCCAAAAGGCAAAGGTAGAAACACTCTCTCCTGCAGGCCTCCTCTAGCCTCTACCTATTCTTTGCTAAGTATGGGACAACATCATAATGGATTTTGTTAAGGGACTACCTCCTTCAAATGAAAATACTATCATATTGGTAGTTGACCAGCTTAGTAAATCAGCTCATTTTGTTGCTTTAGCTCATCCAGTTTCGGCAAAAATAGTAGTCGAATGGTTTATGGATAATGTAGTAAAATTGCATGGCATGCCTTGGTCAATTGTAAGTGATCGAGATCAAGTGTTCACTAGTTATTTTTGGCAAGAATTCTTCAAGCTATCAGGTACCAAGCTGAAATGAGCTCAACCTACCATCCATAAATGGATGGGAAGTCCGAGGTTGTTAATCAATGTGCAGAACAATATTTGCGGTGCCTTAGTCATCAATAGCCTCGCAAATAAAACACGCTACTTCCATGGACAGAATTCTAGTATAGCACTATTTTTCGCTCTGTCATTGGCATAACCCCATTTCAGGCTCTCTATGGTTGGCTACCACCAGTTATTCTAAGGTACCACCCGGGTACCACAACCGTCGATAAAGTTGATGTTTAACTAACTACTAGAGATGAGAAGTTGTGGTAGCTCAAAGCAAACTTGCAGACTGCATAAAATTGAATACAACAGTTCAACAACCCCAAAAAACGTGATGTTCAATTTCAAGGAGAATGGGTCTTTCTCAAGTTTCAGCCTCACCGACAATAAAAAACATTCAAGTGAGCTTTTTAAAAGTTGGCTTGCCACTTCTATGGACCTTACCAAATCATCCAAAAGACTGGGTTAGTTGTATATAAGTTACAGCTACCTCCGGAAGCACGTATACGTCCCGTCTTCCATGTCTCTATGCTCAAGAAGAAAGTCGGGGAAGTCCCAAGTCAACCAGATGCACTGTCAGCCATGACAGATGAATGTGAGATGACTTTGCAACCAGAACTCGTCCTTGATGCCTGTTGCACCAAGAGAGGCTCCAGAATTATGGAAGAAAATTTAGTGAAACTGAAACAGCTTCCAAGGGAAGATGACACCTAGGAAAACATTAATGCACTATAAGAACAGTTTGGTCACTTTAAGTTTATCTTTTTTGTTTTAATTTCAGAAACTGCTTCCTAGCTAGTCAGGAATAACAATTGAGTTTTTGTATATTTCACTCTCCAGCAAAAACAATCATCATCTTTCACAATATTTGTGGTGTCTTCTCACCCAAAGAGAAAATCTTATCAAACTTAAAAAAGCTTCTGATTGGGACCTGTGAACCCATACCAGATATCATGGTTGGGAATCTATTATCTGGTACTCATAACCCTTCAAGGAATGGGGGTCTGTTATTTATTATCTGGTATCCACAATCTTTCGGAGAATTGGGGTCTTTTATCCATGTGGTAGAGGGGATTCTTTCTGCCTTCGATGATGTTGATGGAAATGACATCGTGCGGTAAAATTTTAAAAGATGTAAGAGTGAAAAACAGTGATGAAAACCCTAAATAAGTATGAAATATTAAGTATATAAATATGGGTGTATATATATATATATATATATATATATATAATCTAATATGAATTTGGTATATGACATTTGATATGAATCTTATATAACTATGTGAAAAGAAATCTGATATGTGAAAGAAAATCTAATCATGTAAAAGATGATATAGAAATTGGTCGTGTGATATTAGTATTTATATGAAGGAAAAAGATATTTAGAATGGATAATAAAAATATAACTAAAAACGAAAGTGAAGTTGTGATTTATGAGGATGTAAAGATGTGGCTTGGTGAAATTATAGTTATTGTGGTGTTTTACATGGTTGGGATTTTGTTTTGGATAAAACTTGTATATGTTGTCTAAGTTTTGTGTGATTGAGTGTATGCATATCCCCTCAATTTACACATCTCTCAATGCATATTAGTTGAGATTATGAATAAGTTCAAAATCAAAAAACTCCGAAGAATACTTTAGTGACTTTAGGAGTTTTGTTTTATAAAGTAGATTAAAAATTATTATAATAATGCAATTAAGATTTTTATTAGGCTCATGACTTATAATTCTGTACGATGAATGTATAGTTAGTATTCATAATTTACTATATTGTTGCACAAATTTATCAAATTTTATACATGTAGTAGTGTTTTTTTTACAGTAAAAAAGGTGAGTCGTTACAAGATAACTTCTTTTTGATTGATAAAACACTTCGAATAAAGTTGGTTTTATACAAAATTATAATACAATAGCATGTTTTATGTTCAAGGAATTAATTCTACATTTTTTATCATCTGCAGTTCTTTTACCCGGGCAGTATAGAACCATGTAACCTTGTTAAGCAATTTTAGGATCCTAGTTTAGCAGCTTTGAAACATCTTTTCATGGGTCTGGCTTTGAGGTTGTGGTAGTGAGTTGTACCAATAATTTGAGATACGAGATTTTAATGGATTTGATTTTTGTCAATCAAAAGCACTTATGGTGACCAAATGAGATAGCAGTTAACCACTATCTCATGCCAATTAGAAATAAAAGCACAAATAATTATGATGATTTGTTGAAAATTGAAAAGGAAAAGATTTTTATCTCCATATTAGTATGAAATATCAAGATAAGGAGAATTACTTATACAGAGTTAATGTTTAAAAGCCAGGTAAATCACAATATTCAGTCACAGAGAAAAACAAGAAGAAGATCATAGGTGATACTCCCTTTCTGCAGTAATACAATAATAATGAGGTATTGACGTCTCTTTTTTATGAAACAAAAAATTCAACTGGGGATACAATTTTGAACGTGAAAATCAAGTAATACGTATGCCATAGGGGAACCAGTATCTTCTACTCAATCTCATTAATTATCACTTTACTCCATCTTATCTGAAACTTCATATAAACTTCTTAATCAAGATTTAAAAATTAAAATTATATACCAACATGTGAAAGTTTTGTGGGTGTGTGTGTATTTACTCAGATTTTTTCTTTTTTGACTTAACGATGAGATATATGTGAATGGTTAGTATATTCTAATTTGACGTGAATGGCGGCATCTCTCTGCCTCGTTATTTATAATTAAACATAATTTTTTTCCTAAATGATCTTAAAGTTGTATTTTTCTATTTTAATCTGTTCAAATTGAAATTGGGATGTGAATGTTAGTCAAAGTACTTGAAATAAAATCTTGACAAAGAATCTGTATGAACAAGTAAAAAAGAATTATTGTGTTTGTGTCCACTTTTAGAATTCAATCCTAGCAGCCATTTCTTGCTTCCAAGAGTACTTGAAACATGTTATATATATATATATATATATATATATGTATGTGCGTGTATATGTGTGTGTATATACATACACGCATATTTTTAAGGCAAAGAATCATAACTAGCAGTCTAGAAACACAATCATCGCTAGTTCGTCCTTGTTTTTCCTTTTTTTAAACAAATATTTGATTAAATGGGAATGGACAGCAAAATCCATGATCACAGATCCCAAATTATGACCATCTGAGAGGAAAGGAGATTTTCTACACATCAAAATTTCTGTATCTGAAATATGGAGTAAATACATGTTTGATGAAACAGAGAGATGCAGACATTAGTTATATACTGAAATCAAGTTGCAGATATCAATTACATGTACACATTAAACTATCAGCTGAACTTGATTACACCAATGATCACAGCATTTTTTTATTTTGTACATTGGGAGAACAGAACCAATTATATGTACAGAACCCACCAATGACAATCAGAAGGTTTTGAGATTTCATCTATAAAAAGTCCCATTGCCAGTAGACCTTCTCTACAATCCCTCCACCACTCTGAACAGCAAGGTGAAGAGTTTCCGAAACAGGAGGCACACCCCAAAGATAAGGTACTGCAACTGTCATTGTAAGTTTTTCATGTAAACCACCTTTGCTTGCTTTCTCGGCAGCAACAACCTGAATTTTTTAAACTTACTAATTACCAATAATCCATTTCTTAACTGTAAGATTTTTGACACACTGAACAATTACACCAATCTAAATGCCCATGAATTCAAGGATATGCCTCATAAATTTTACAAGGTAGACATGGATTTAATGCCTTCAATAAAGGTTTGATTGTTGCTCTATCTAGAGAGTATTATTTATCATTTTGCACAGGAAACATTTTCATGGTATTAAAAGGTTACGAATTTATGATATGCAGATTTCATGGTAAACAATCTTTTATCTGGAAAAGAAACTAAAGCCATGTTCCGAACGAATAAACTCTACACAAATGTATAAATTTCAATTTTAAATGTGTTTAAAAAACATTAAAGTGCGAATTTGCAAATGAATTTCAATAACTTTGTAGAATCCATGATGTCAAAATCATTTATTCCAAACATAACGCTAAACTACTCTCTTGCTTTTCCTCCATGACACCCATTGCATTATTCGTTGACTAGACTACCTTCAAAGTCTCAAAAATGACAAAATAAATTTCGCAGACAAATAAGTAAAATTAGACACCTAAAAACCCAAAAAACTCCACTCATTCTCAACACCAACTTCTGGATCAAGTTATAGAAACACCAATTCAGACTGAAGCTCAAATGTGGATTCTGGACTAAGTCAGCTTCCAATTACATTGTATCTTATAAAAGAAATCTAAATTTAATTGAAGAAGGTGATGAAAACATTATTAGAGCTTCAGCTTTTATGAGGAAAATTGGGTGAGAAACAATGAAAAGTGTTTTATCATAAAACATTTTCTTTAGTATATTATTTTTGGTTTGATGTTATAACACCTTATCTACTTAGGCTGACTGAAACAATAGATTAGACTAGTATCCTATTCCAATAGTTTCATAAATTCAAGGAAGAAAAACATAATGATAAACATAAATCCTATGATAACATGATACAAGTAAAACTGCATACCTCCCCACCATGCTCTAGGACAGTATCTTCCACAACATCACTAAGCATCTCAATCGAACGGCAGAATCCATATATACAAAGCCTTCTGCCTGTATCAAGTCCCTAAATTCACCAAATCCACATACACCCATAAGACAAGCTGCTCAAGATATCAGATCCAGTTCAAAGTAGCAGCAGTGAAGTTGCTTACATTTGTTGCCGCGATATCAAAAAGTGCACCTAGGCACAGACCCTGATTCGGGTCCATGTAATCACTCTCTTGAAACCGCTGATATCTTTGTGAAATCTTTGATCTCCCTAGCTTCTTCTGTTCAAAGTTCAGATATGTTTACTAGACCAAAAAACCAACTCAATGACATGAGTATGAATTCAATATGCTGTAGAGTCTAGAATAACATGTATACTAAACTTAATGACCCATTTAACACAATAGATCCTAGTCTTCAATCCAAAAGGGAAAAAGAAGCCAACAGGAAAAGCTTATGAACAAAATGAATTAGCATTCAAATGAAGGAACAAATTCAATGAAAGGTTGAAAAACCGTTAAGCCCATGAACAAAAGCAACAGTATTTATTGCATAAAAACAAGTCATAAACAAATACTGAATATTTTGTGTTTGAAAGAAAATACATCTGCAGAAGACACTCGACGAGGAACCAGGGAGCCTCCTATTTGAACGAGCCCTTCAGCCGTGAACAGAGTAACTCTCTCCTCCGGAACCCATTCAATTGCTATAAACACAAAGCAATACCAGAAAGAAAAAAGAAATCATCCACTAATTTCATCAACAAGCGAGCCAAAAATCTTCATAGAAACAAATCATTTTGTCGGTCAAGGCGACTGACAAGACCAGTACAAATTGATGATGAAAATTAAGAAAACAATAGATAACCCCATTAATCAAATTAGAAACAAATTATCCGTTGCGACTATTGTGTCAAATACCCAACAAATAAACTAAACATGAAAATTTCCTTCTGCACATAATTTTTGTTTATTGAAAAGAAAAGGGAAATAATAACTGACCTCCGTCGGCATCGGACCAAGGAAAGAAACTGAAAGGTTCGTCGCCGGAGTCCGAGGCTTTGACGGTGAAGCGTAGGAAGCAGGAGGATCGAGGAGGACGAGGAATTATGGAGAATTTAGGCGAAGAGAAAACGGAAGAATTGAATTCCCTGGAGCGAGAAATAAAAGGAAGGGAAGAGAAAGGAGAGAGGCATAGAGTAGAGGTTTCCGCCATTAAGATGTGAGAAGAACGGAGCAGGGAATCTGAGGAAGACGGAGGAGGGAAGCAGAGAGAGAGAGGCGAAACATACGGGCCACAGATGTCGGTGTTAAAGTGGACACGTGGCAACACAATAGGGGGAGTATATTTTAGTTTCAAAAAAATTAAAATATAAATTAAAATAAAGGGATCAATAATTTAATTCTTGAAATATCAGTTAATTGCAGTTCAGTCCAAACAAATTCTTTTTCTTACGATATAATTTTTTTTTGTAGAAATAATATATACTATTTTATAGTATTTGGAATTTTAAAAAATAGTTTATACTTCTTTAATTTCTATTACCATTATTTGTATTGCTTAAAATAATTTTTATATCCTCAAAAACTCATAATATATTTTAATAAAATTTTAAATATTTTATTTTTTTGTGAATAGATAATATTATTGATAAAAATTGATGAAGCATCTCCTACATAACCAAGGACCTAAACAAAGCTGGGATGTTTAGGCCAATCAATTAAGAATGAGATAGCTTGAGCATTTCTCCAATTAGAACATGATTATTTGAACATAATAAAAAGCATGAAACAAATATCAATACTAAAAAAACATCTTTAATGAATAAGTTAGCTTTAAGAATTGTTAGTAGGTACGGACAAAATAGATTAAAAGACTTAGCAATAATTACCTTCAAGTATAATCTTTTGAAGGTCTTTTCAGGAAGTTAAGTCGATCCCCAAAAAATATTGCTTGAATCTCTACTATTTTAATTGAGCAAGAATAGTTAATCTTCCTCATTCTCATAAAAATAATGGGTTCATTTCCGTCTTTATATATCATTTCTAATCCAGTCCATCTATTATTTCAAAGTGAAGCATTGGAGGTTATCTTGAATATACTTTCTAGAGATAGAACTCATACCCAATTACTTGAATGATCCATGACATTTGGTAATTGGTGTTTGAGGAACTCTTTTTTCCATGCTTGCCTCTACCTTGTATTTGGAGTTTTTGGATAAAAAAGATGATCACCCAAATTTGATGATGGATTCATTGGTTATTGCTCCCCTAAATATCTTGTGAAATTAACATGAACCATGATCTTTTTAAAGGACATGATATATCTTTTGGCATTTTATTTAACTTGATTTGCACATTTTTTGTCATTAGTTGTTCTTCTTTTATAGATAATCCATCAAAACACCCTTATATTGTTAAAAAAAAATTTCAAATTGACTTTTACGCTATCTTTAAGTTTAAATATAACTTGTATTTTTAAATTTTATCCAAACAAACTCTTATCAATAATGATATATCTAACACCGTTAAATAAGTGCCTATATAGAAAAAGATGTATATATTATCAGCATCAAGTTTTAAGAATGTCATTAGTATCGCAATCAGGTGATTGGTTCTGCTATTGTTAATATGCTCTTTGCGACATTATATTTTCAAGTGCCACTAAACTCAATGATGGTGTTTTAATAGGGGTTAAAAATCATTAGAGCGGTATTGGCGCTGAGCATTCCTTTTTATTTGAAGAGAAAGTGGACAGATATGCATGTGAAGAAGAAAATAGAAAAAAACTACAAGATAGAAGAAATAGGGGCCACGTGAAGGACACGAGTGAACCCAAGTCGAGTGATTTCAAGACTATTTCACGTACTGGAATAAGAGAAGAATACATAGAGCCTCAAGTGATGAAGACAAAATATAAAATGAATGCTCAGGGCAATTTGAATGGAGAAAGAAGCTTGAGTTAAAAGAAAGAAAACAGAGGGAAGTAAAAAGGGGAATTCATGGAAGCAGTCTTGGTTTCCTTCAAAGAAACATAGAGGGTTTTCTAAGATGGCGAAGACAAAAGGAGAGGAAACAAGCAACAGGCTTCAAACAGGAGCATTCATAAAAAGAAGATACTTACCAAGTTAATAACCAATCGCCAGCAAATAAAAATCAACCTTATACATTAAATTTCAGTCAAAATATTTAGAACAAGTAAAAAGGAAGCCATTTATTATCATTTTTAAATTTTAACTTGAGAGTTTGTATGCTATCAATAAAAAAAAACTAACCCGATTGAAGAAAACACCATATTAAATTAGTGTTTAGGGGGAATATCATACTAATAATGAGGAATCATTGGCTTATGCAACTTTTTTATCCTTCCCCTATTGGAGTTATTCTCGAGCCTTTTCATTGATCACTCTCTTTCTCGATTTTTAGTGTTCAACAGTGTGCCCTCTAGCTTTCTTTTTTGAGCTAAGTAAGAGCCCTAACTCTCCCCTCTTTTTGTGTAAGTGAAGAAGATAGAAGAAGTAGTTCATCCTCTTTGTTAGACATTAAGGGCAAATTTATCAAGCTACTCATAACTAATGCAAAATCCCAAGACCCTTGTTTGAACCTTAGAACTCTTCAATCGATTTAGAACATAATTTAGATCACAAGTAAAAAAAGAATCAAATTTGTTCAATCACCCAAATGGTAGAAGTTAAAGAAAACCCAAGAAAGATAAATGATATCCCTTGAACCCAATCTAAACAAGCACCAAGAACAATTGAAATAGGAAATCAAAATTGAAATACAAGTGATAACAATTGTATTCCAAATCAACACCTTGTGCATAAAGTGAAAAGAAAGCCAAAACACTCTCAACTCAATTCTGAAATTTTTTATTAGAACTCTTGATGTCCACAAAGAAGAGTTTTTTTGGTATTTATAGCTAAAGAAATCAATGATAAGTTACAATACAATAACTACAATTGTAACTCCCACAATAATTAGGTTAATTATGTGGTAATTACAATTGTAACTCCAACAATAACTAGGCTAATTATAGGCATATAATTGTTATATAACTCCTTGTAACTCCAATCTTCTTAACCAACACCACTTATTGTTTGTGGCATCATATAGTTATGGACTCATTCTTGTAATAACATTAAAACAAGACTTAATCCCAAAATGAGTTATATTTAACTATATGGGTTTAATTAACTCAAACTAAAATAAAACAATCTAAAATACTTAAAACAACTCAATTAATCCAGCTTATACACAAGGTTTATTCATCCATTATCAATAAGACTCAAACAAGCCCAAATTATCCCAAATCACTTAAATCCAATTAAAGTTACGAATTTGGGTTGTTCAAAAAGCTCATATTTGAACTTTCCACAATTAGCTAGCCCATCATCCATATGTTTTTGAGTAAAAACTTGGAGCAACTCTTTAAGCTTCTTTACCTTTGATCTTGTTACTGGTCCGCTGAAACTTTTTAGGTTTGGAACTGTATTTGTATTTACATCATTTGAAATTTGCTCCAAGTCACCTTCTGATGCTCTTTGAGTATCTTGAATGTTTTTAACTTTGTTTGCATCATTCTCCCTCCCCTCAAAAGGATTCGTCCTCGAATCAATTCCTGCATCAATTTCAAAATGGGATAAATCAGATATGTTAAATGCAGCCGAAACACTATACTCACATGGTAGGTCCACTTTGTAGGCATTTTCATTTATTTTGGCTATGATTTGAAATGGACCATCCCCACGAGCATCCAACTTAGATTTCTATTTTGATGGAAATCGTTCTTTGCGCATATGAACCCACACCCAATCTCCGAGTTCAAATGAAATCTTACGCCTTCCTTTATTGACAAGGGATGCTATTTGTTCATTTTTTTCTTTTCAATGTTCTGCCTTTCTTTTTCATGAATTGCTTTAACCAATTTTGCTTTCTTATGTCCATCCAAATTAGAAATGTCACTTATAGGAATAGGCAACAAATCAAGTGGAGTTAAGGGATTAAAACCATACACAATTTCAAAAGGAGAAAACCCAGTAGAAGAATGTATACTCTGATTATAAGCAAATTCAACAAATGGTAGCATATCTTCCCAAGTTTTAACATTC